TAATATGTCACAAATATCCTCTTCTCACAAAAGGTCTACCCAAATGTTCCGATGCCATGCAACCCAAATAGACCACGCCTGGTCTGGTCAAGTATATACCAATTATAGTTATGGACTTAGACACTAATCAACAGTACGATAGGGAGAGAAGTTTGCGAGTCATCCGCTGAGTGCGATTTGATACCCCCAGTCTGAAGTGAGTCTTCCTTCGCAGTAGACGTGGGTCGAAGGCACCAAGGTCGGCCCACTAGTTTATGTTATAGTGTGGTGATTGTGTTTGTGATCATTGTCAGTTATGCCTGTATTTTTTTTGATGGATCTGTGATTATGTTATGATATTATGTGGTAGTAGTGGGGGTGAAATGGACCCGGTATCCGGTTAAAATAGACCAAAGGGGATTGCAAGCAACCAGATATGCTTGATAGTATCCGGCTGAGATAGAACGAAGGGGTAGGCAAACACCTAGATATGCTTGGCAGTATCCGGTTGAAATAGATCGAAGGGGTAGGTCGGCACCCAGATATGTTTGGAAATATGTTTTTTTAGTATATGGTATTTTGGGGGAACTCACTAAGCTTCGTGCTTACAGTTTTAACTTTCTGTTTCAGCTACTTCCAGTTCGAAGGGGAAGGGTCCGGCTTGATCGCACCGCATCACTCTATGTTTTTTCCGCACTTAGTGATTTTGGGATTTGTACTCTGATAACACGTTACCATATGAATATTTCGAATATTTTGATATCAGCTTCTTATGAATTGAATGAATTTAAAAACAAAATTTTATCTATATTTTTGGGGATGTTACAGCAGTGAATCAAATGATGTATTCAAATTTTGAGGGGATCAACATTTTTTATTAGAACTATTTTAATGGTAATATGGTTCGAAATTTCCATCACATTTCCGAGGAAGTTTATTTAAAAAAAACAATGTTGATTTTTTTGGTCGGAAAAATGTCAAAATGTTTCGACAGATTTCTAAGGCTTTCATTTTTTCATTATTTTATCCCTATTGCATTGCTAAATTGGGGGTTTCCTTCAACTTTGTATTTTGTTGGAAAATAGTCGGAATTTCCATAAAATAAATTTTCCCTCAAAAAGTTTGTTCAAAAGGGATACAATTTATAGTACATAATGGTAAGCGACAAACTCTTGTTGATGCATGTCGTTTAAAATTTTAAAGATTTGTTAATAACATTATTACAGTGTTCACCTTGGTCATGGTACCTTTAGTTTTAGTTAATCTTTTGATGTATTCATATCGAATAAATGAAGTGTTTTGTGGGACATGTTTTATTGAGCAACGTAGAATGATATAGTAGGAAGAACATAACTAAATAAAGGGATACAAAACAATATTCGCAGCCAACCTATTTCATAACTCTTGGGCATGGGAGATGCTAAAAGACCATTGACCTTGATATTATTTCAATTCTCATCTTTTAAAGCAGTTAATGTAATTGGAACTCCACTTTTCAGTCTAGGGATGTGGGATTTCTTTTCTAAGTTAAGATCTTGATCGTTGACAGTCCACCTGTAGGTGTAGGAATAAGAAGATAGATGTTGAGAAAAAAAATAATAGAAAAAGATAGATTGTGGGAATTAAAAAATCAACTCACATGTATCCGCATGTTAGCCTATGCAAGAATACCAACATTGTCACCTTTGCCATATTGATTCCTAAGCATGTCCTAGGCCCAGATCCAAAAGGTATATAACAATATGGCTTTTGTATTTCCTGGAGACATGAATAGCCTTGTCAAATTTTATTAATTCTAGCATGACCAATTGTATATGATTTGATTGAAAAATGGAAATAGATGGTTATCCTGATACATCAAATCTAGATGGATTAAACTGCAAAGGATCCTTGTATAATGTTGGATCATAATGTATGTGAGTAACATCTATATCAACATGCCATCCTTTCTTTATCTCAAAATCTGTAGTTCACAAATCAAGATAAAACAAAACAGTGAGGCGCGGAAAAGTAAATTTACAAAATGCCCTAATGATAAAGTGGTATAGTCTACATTTGTCTTTCAAGGCAGCCCATGTGACTTATCTTGAGTGAGGTCATAACAAACAATATATATGTATTTGGAAGCGCCTAATGGAATCATTTTACCAATATATCTTATCATAGTATGTATACTTAGAAACCACTTTTATAGTCTTTTTCCTAAAAAAGTGGTCTTCTAACATTTCTCTCATAGATCAAGTGGCTTCCATTGTAAATGAAAGATGGTGTTAGACTAGAAAACCCATAAAGTCTATATGTGATGGAGAGAATCTTGTAACCATGACACATTTTCTAGTTGCTTCCTTGAACATAATTTTTTTAAGTAAAAATAACTACTTAAATTAGTTCCAGTAATAAAGAAATGATCTTTACAATATACAACTATAGATTATGATGAAATCAACTATGGCAAAACTGTCAAATACATATGTAATTAATTCTAAGCTTTATGTTACTCCTACTAAGAAAATATTAACTATATTACAACCGGATTAAATGGGATGAAAGTTTTTCATATGATCACTAAATCAAAATTTTAGTCAAATCATATGTGTAGCACATCTTCTAGTTCTTGAAGAGGGTTATCGAAAATATTCACAATATAACTAGGAAGCCGTTTGAAGTGCTGAAGATGTAATAATGATTTGCGAGTTTAGTGTGTCCCATTTGATATCTTTAATCTCATAGACTACACTCAATATCGTTCACACAAAGTTGCAAATCTTTCTCTTAAACTGTCGTAACTCGATAATTTCCATAAGCATATTGGCATATATTCCATTTCTGGTAGACCCAAAAGTTATTTCACAAACTATTCCTTATTATTGTGAGTTGTTTTGATTTTGTAATGTCATGGTATAAGTTTGGTTACTTCTCTAACTATCTTGTCTAATTATCGTATCTACCCTTGATTCCTTGAAAATAAACAAATTTTAGGTTTTCATTAGGCATGGTGTTATGGAATATGGTTGTTCATGTAGATTTGTGGAAAAATTTCTTTAATAGGACCGCGAATGCAGCTATGAAAAATTTAATATTTATAATATTTTGTTATATAACAAATTATATTAATTAATCATAAGTATAAAATTTATTTTTATTTATCGAGTTCATATAAAATATTAAATACATATTAAAAGCATGAGACACAATAGCGTATTTACAAAAGCTTATAATTAAAATATATATTGCAAACACGATATCATATGCATGTATAATATTTATTTAAAAGTGTGTATGTCTAATATTTATATAAATGTACATATAATATATATTTAAAAGTGTGTATGTCTAATATTTATATAAATATATATATAATATTTATTTAAAAGTGTGTGTATGTGTAATATTTCTATAAATGCATGTAAATTTTTATTTATAAGTGTATTATAAATATAATCTTATTTATTTAATATTATTGTAATGAAAAAAAATATATATAGATTATATATATGTTAAAACCAATTTAATAGAAGAGAGTGTTTGACAATTTATGTAAATTTGAAGAATGAAATATACTAGGAATATACTTTTTGGGTAAAAAATGAAGTAGAGTTGGAAATGAAAGTCAATGGCCTGGAAAAATACAACTTTTTAATTATTAAAATATGTTCTATTGATTTTTTGTAGAAATCAATGCACTGTAGAGAAAAAACACTAAACTTATATGAAATGCGGGATGATGATTTGTCAATCTATCAAACTTTATAGAGTTTAATGTATTGTGATAACTTTATATTTGTATTGCCAGAAAACGCAAAACGGTCAACAAGTCATCAAGAAATATTATGTACGAGATATTTTTTTCTAGTTATCAATAAATCAAAAAAGTACTTACCCTGAATTTTGCAGTCATCAATCACAACACGAGGGAACCATAGCAACACATTTGCCATTCTCAGGGTCTCTTTGACAACCTAAAATGTCCCAAGATTATAGACCAACTCAAACGAATTATCAATCTTGGATAAGTATAAAATCAAAAATTAAAACAAACAAGCTTGTACTATTGTGCTTCTGACCTTTGAACCATAAGACATCTTGTTCAGATCCTCGAGACAAAGTAAAGCCCCTCCTGGTTTATTTCTTTGTATCAACAACTGTTCTTCCTGTTATTTCATTTTAATGTCGTCACTTTGTGTATCAGATGTTAAGCTTGATGACATAATTTGGTCATGGTTACTCACTCTTAACTTGTTTTGGACTTCTTTGTTCTCATCTAAGAACTTTACACTCCACATCATTGCAGCTGCGGTGGTAGTCTGCCCAGCTAATATTAACGTTAGCATGTTGTCCATAAGTTCTGAATCATCAAGCTTCTCATCAGCTGGAAATGAGTCTCTCTGTAGCATTGACTGCAAGAAGTCTTCACAAGGTTCTTTGCTACTACGTCTACTAGAAATCATTTCTTTGAAAAGGTTCATAAGTCTTTCACGTGCCTACATCAACATTATTTGTCACTTAGTTACAACATCTCAATAGAAATATGAAACGACATGCTCTACCTTCATGCCTTTGTAGTATCTAGTGCCAGGAATCATGACTGGAATTGAGAGCATCGCATTTGAAATAGTTGTACAATCTTGTTCTATATTTTTCAACAAGGATTCGTCCGTGATGCTCATCAGCATGTCACACATTGCATCAAATGATATCTGAATTGGATAAGATCTTGATGAAAATATTGAAAATTACTTTAGTTGATTAGTAAAACCAAGTCTCCTGATTATACCTTCATGCTGAAGTCAAGAGCCACAAAACTCTTACCATCTTCAGCCAACTTCTTGAATCTTAAGGAGAGCAACTTATCGAACTTCTGAACAAACTGGGATAAAGATTCCATGGAGAAAGGACCAGAAAGAAGGCGTCTTATTCGTTTATGACTTTCAACTGGTACACAAAGCAAGCTTTTCTTCCCAACAGCATCTGCCATTGATTTCACCAAACACTTGTTGAACAGCTTAAATTCATTTGTCAAAATTGTTTTTGCACCCACTACACTTGGGACAAATACATGAACTTTGCCAAACAGTCGCGTTTTGAACCAGTTTCCATGCCTGTGTACATAATTAATTTTCGTCACTTAATTAGGTGAAGAAAGTCAACTAAAATCAGGAAATATATGCAAATAGTTTGACATGTTGCTGAATGAGGAATATATTTATTAAATTAACCAACTAACAAACTTGTTAACCTATATTTATCATTCATAAATTAAATCCTTTTAAATATCATCTAGATCGTGCATGATGCAACTACATATATGAGAAATTTATACCAAATACAATGGTTCCCAGGTCATGTCATGCTACGGCTTTCTAAGTGGGCCATTTTATTTGTTTTGTGCAGAAACAATAGCATGAAAACAACTATATATATGAGAAAGAGATTACCATAGTCTCCGAATACGAACAAATTCATAGCAACCTTTGCTACTATTAGCAGCTGAAAGAAGGGATAATGTTTCGCCAATGAGAGGAAGACCAAGTCTTCCAGGGATCGTGTCCACTGATTTCCTCTTTTTATTGGTAAGGAAACTTAAGACAACACATGAAAGAAGTACAGCTAAAACTATGTCATAGTTGTTCTTCAAAAGCCATTGAAGTTCCACCATTTTCCAAATCGCCTTCGTTCTTCAGAATAAATCAATGTTACCCATATTTAGAAAGATTATCAACATTAGTCTTATATAGATAGACTAAGTAACTAATGTTGATGTCCTAGTTTCTTGTAATTGTGTCGTTGATTTTATCTATGTAGTACTATAATTAATCCCATTAATAATTGTTTAATATATAAAGAATCTTAAATTTGGAAAAGAGAACGTTACAAGACAACAAATAGTGATTGTTTTTTTCAGTAAATTGTTTGATTATTGATAAAACATTTATGATTAATACATATTCTTAACTGACCTAAACTAACTCATAGTTTTGATACTAAATTTAGATCTTGTCAAACTAAATGCCCTGGAATTGAACAAATTTTGTAAAACTGATCAGAGATCGATAGCAGGAATTGTGGCCCATTTGAGTGGTGATCAATAAAGTATTTTCTCAAAAGGTAACTTCACAAATGTATGGGTGTAGAGCCGCATAGTAGCTGCATGCCAAAGAAACATAGGTCAATTTGCATAAGATTATTAGTCAATCGATCTTTATCTTTGATGCAAGACATAAGCAAAATAATTGGTTACTATTTTCTTTTTGTACACCTAACGTTTCTATAAAATTGACATCCGAATATAATTGGTTCAACTAGTAAACATTTGGGTCATCTTTATATCATTGTAACATTTTATTGTTGATCATAATATATATAATACAAAATCGACAAACAAAAAACTTTGTTTAGGAATCCTATGCCTAGAAAAATAAGTTTGGTGATCATTCAAAAAATATTGGTTGATCATTAATTCAACTTTAACCCAATTATTTAATTAATGCCTTTAAAAGCACACTAATGTATTACAAGTAGAATTGTAAATGAACCAAACGAACACGAACAATGACTTGTTTGTTTTTATTCGTTTAAGTTAGCCGAACAAACAAACGAACACGAACGGATAAATGAACGATATTTTTTTTTCGTGTTCGTTCGTTTAACAAAGTATCTTGTTCATGTTCGTTCGTTTATATTCGTGAACAAACACAATTGAACATATATGAACATAAACGAACATATAATATGGTAATATAATAAAAAAAATTGAACATAGATGAATATAAATAAATTAAACGAACGAACATAAATGAACGTAAACGAACGTTCACGAACATAATTGAATGAACGAGATCATTGTTCATGTTCGTTCGTTTAACTAAACGAAAGATAATTTTTTGTTAATGTTCGTTCATTTATTAAATAAACAAATAAACGAACTTCCCGCCGAACAGTTGACAAACGGTTCACCGAATTTTCAGTTCGTTTACGGCTCTGATCTCTAATTATAAGCATTGGTTCGTTGATTGCATACTTCGATTAATTGCTATTCTGAAAAGTTCAACGTATTGTTTCCAAACGAATGTTTAGGCCTTACAGCACTTTTATATTATTTTTACTAGTTTATAACCCGTGGGAAACACGGGTTATAAAATTAACTAAACTTTCATAATAAAAATTTATAATTATTAATCAATTATTTTACATAAATCATTTTAAATAAATTATTAATTAAGAGATATATATCAAAATTTTATAATTATTATAACTTCAAATTTAACCTATAATTAGAAAATGTAAATTTGAATTTTTGAAATGAGTTGTCTAATGTATCTATATGACACATGACATAATATTAATAAGAAGTTGTATTAAAATGAGACTTGACAAAAGGAGATTAAAACTATTCATTTATTAGAAAAGAGATTTTTCGATTGTATCTATAACCGAACCTAAATATAGAAGTTTACGTCCAGCTGTGAATAGATTCATAGTAAAACATAACATTGTGCAATAAATCCACAAAACAACAGAAGATTTAATTAGCGATGTCCCACACAAAACCAATAACCATTTTACACTATTTTTAATTTGTTATTTGTTATTATTAAATATTGAAGTTGTACGAGTTACCGACACGCTTTGCATTGGTATTTTTAAGGTTAATTACACCTGAGCCATGACATACAAAATCATATTACTCAATTTCTAATTAAATACCATTCTAAAATACTTATCAATTATCCTTAATCATTATCTATAATAAACCATCGTCACCATTTTAAATTCTTTGGAGGAGATGTTTGGGCGATTATCACTATTCAGGTACGCAAAAGCTGCAGGTCGAGAGATGGAGAGTGATTATGGCTGTTTTTTGCTGGGTCCTTTCTAGGTACAGAAGTGAGGTCATTTTCAAAGCCAAGGAAAAGTCTTGTTCAATTCGGGTTTCAGAAATTCAGATGTATTCTTTTATTTGGCTTAATAGCCGCTCAAAAAATGTTTCCCAAGGTAACTGGGAGAAATGGCTAATTAGCTCAATGTTGTAAAAAAAAAAAAAATAATAATAAATAATAAATAAAACAATCGTCACCAATGCCATTTCACCTATTTTATTTCTCAATCTTACATCATTAGTGGAATGCCAACATTTTTCAAAAGTTAATTTATACTTTGTAACAAAAATCGATAAGTTAGCAGTTTAGGAAGAAAATAGAACATTTTAAATTTTACAAAAATCTTTAATTTGTAATACATCAATCACGGTGTTTGTTGTATTAGAATTTTTGTATTTAATATTGAAAAAAATCTAGAGTAATGTAAAATTTAAATTGTTTTTTTTTTCCCTAAAACTCAATGAATTAACAACTGAATTTTGTCCCTACTACGTTACTAATTACCGATGGCAAATTCTAGCGGTAAATTAGGTCATACCCGTTGGAAATTCCGTCGGTATTCAAAACTTATCCGTGGCAAATTTGTCAAAATGACCCAGTTTTGTAGCAGTGCAAATGTGCAATAAAACCATTTCCTTCGGAGCCCCTTGATATTTCTCTTTAGTCAACAACAGACCTTAGTATCGCAAACATGCAACAACATTCTCAAACTTTCTCCACATGTACAGTTTCTACTCAACACGTTCAACACTTGACATTTAAGCATTAAAGAAACTTAGTTAATAAAAAATAACATATATAATCCATTTCATGTTTAGGTTGAAACAATAGATATAGCTTTTCAACCCTTTTGTTGTGCTATTTTAACGTGTAATTGTGTTTATGAAAGATAATGAGAAGAAAAAAACAACAAAAATTAAGGTGAATCAATTATGCTTCTTATTCATTATGAGGTCCGACCCAATGGGTGGGGCAAGTTGGACAACGGCCCAAGGCCCATTGAAGTTTAGGGCCCAATTTTAAAACTGTTTTTATTTATATATTATTTAATGTTAAATGATAAAATCAAAATTGTTGTAGATTACATGGTAAAGAGTGTGTCTAGGTTGTTCAATTCACTCTCATCGAATTCTTTTTCCTAATTATAATGGTTCTATCAGATCCTCCACTTGTTCATATCACAAACAAAAGTGTAAGTTTTCTATTTTCTTTACTTATGTTACACTTTCTAAAATTTCATACTCTGCATTTATTCCAATTTTGTTTAATTCCTTTTCATTTAAATTTTATTTTTATGACATTTAACACCTTTAATGTCCGATTTTGCATTTGTTTTTCAAAATTTAATTTGAATTTATCAAATTATTTTATGTGTAATATTGCTTCCACATAACAATAGTAAATTTGTAGTACAGTCTGTTAAAAAACTTAGGTATTTAGTTCATATTTTAACTATAAACTTTTTATCAAATTTAACTAAAATTTAGTGGTCATCCGAATATCCAGTAATTGAAAGGTCTCCGTTTTATTTTTACCCTGAGCTCGAAATATGTTTGAAACCAGGGGCGGAGGCAAAAAAAATTTAGGGTGTTTCTCATAAATTAGTTAGAAAACACACACACTCATATATATATATATATATATATATATATATATATATATATATATATATATATATATATATATAAAGAGAGAGAGAGAGAGAGAGAGAGAGAGAGAGCTAGGTTCATTTGTTTAAACTAAGTATTGTGTTATCGTATGCATAAATGTGGGCCAATCAATATTAAATAAAAATTTAAATAATTAAATAAACAATCAAGGGTATTTTAGTAATTTGATAAATAGCTTCCACAAATAGTCCCTATAATCATGCTAGCCTTCACTCTTAACCTAATTTATTTTCTTATATACAGCTGTCAATAATGACCTGAAACAAAAAGAAGGAGATGAAGGTGAGAAGGAAAGCACGAAGCGGCTGCAAGGTCCAATGGATGTCGATCGATTGCAGGCTAAGGAAGCGTCTCCGAGGTCGACAAGACTGAAGCAACGAAGGGAAGAAGCAACGATTTTATTCCCTCTTGTGCAACTGTGAGGTGAGAAAAGGAGGAGGTCAGAAGAAGGTTTGGGAGGAGGTAGGCAGAAGCGATTGTTGATGGGGAAGGAAGGGAAAGGTGTGAGGGAAAAGGGTCTATTGCTCGTCGATGGTGGAAAGAGGTGAGCGGATCGAGGCTTCTCCGGCAGCCTCCATCTTCTTCCGCTTTTTCATTCGTCACCTTTGGCTCGCCATTGATTCACCTTTACAGTCGGTGGTGTATAGGAAAAGGCAAGGTACCTTCTTTTTCGATTTAAGATTTCTTCGCTGAATTTAGCTTAAAGGATGTACTGACGAATATTGCTTCAATTTTCATTGTTCTCAGTTTTAATCTTTTGAAGCTTTTGGTGTTAAAGAAGAAAGATGTTGGGGATTATAAAACAAAAAGTCGGTACCAGAGGTTTATCGGATCCGGTAAAACATCTTCACCCTCAAAATTTCGTTTATTTATATCATTCCTTCGATTGAACACCTGAACGATTCCCTTTGAATTTTTTTGGGGGCACAGGTACCCTTCGAATTTGATTGCAATCAGGGAAGAAGACAGAGTACTGTGCAAACATTAATCCCTTTTATTTAAATCTAACCCTCAAATATGATGTAATTGTGTA